AATCAGCACAACATACCACAAGTTAAATAAAAAACTACCAAACTCCGCCCAACTAATATTAATAAACATTACAGCCAAACTAATGGCCTAAGTAAAAATATATCTCAAATCCTAACAGTTATCGCGGGTGATGGCGCCATGAGTTGCTATTATCCAAAACAGATGCAAATAAACATGTTTGTATGTCCTATGTATGTTTGTTTTAAAAACGTTGCAGCGGCGCTGGGAACTGCAGTCTTAGATCTGGGTATGTTTGGCATCTGCAACTTTTCATATACACATTAACCCTATTTCGGACGGGGAGGCCTTTCAGGATTTTCTTGTACAATTGCCAAACGCCGCGAGACATTCAGCTCATATTTGGTGACTTTTCCTAAATGCTCATTGCGCACATCTCAGCAAAAAAAAAAAAAAAATGCCGGGTCAGGTCAGGTTAGGTAACCAGAGCGGGTTTGTTGACCCCACCTCAGAAAAGTTTGCAAACACGTCAGAGCTTGAGTTTTCACGAAGTTATTTCCTCTCATCAAGTCTTCAAAACAGTACCTGCAGTATGTGTCGTTTGTATATCTCAGAATTTTTGATCTGTGACCTGAGGTTAGGCCAGAGTCGTGACCTTTACATTGCAAGCCTATGGAAAAGTATTGAAATGCGACCTGCACCTCGAGTAAACGAGTCAAAACCACCCAATTCTTTAATAATTATGACAAATTATCTTATCTGTAATGATCCAGGTGCCATTTACTGACAGGGACACCGGGGAGGGTTATCTGAGCCGAGATCATGTGAGGTGATATCTACCATACATCAATGCTCACAATACTTACAATATTGACAATGCTTTTGCTTACAACACTTACAATACTTACGATGAGACCAGCAAGCACTCTGCCGTTACAGTTCTAACTTCTGTTTCGAAAACCGACGTTACACACATTCGCTGCCAGCATAACATGTATTGTTTGACAGTAACAAAATACAATTGACATCTGAACCCCAAACGGACCGCCATCCACTCAAATTTTATAACCCTGACCGGTCAGGGGGCGAATGGAGGTCATCTCCTGGGCATTACACTCAGCCCTTGCACAAAATATCTCACCTCACAGTGATCATTACAACAATAGCACCGACTTGATAGTGGATTTCAAAGTACTTGCATCAGCTCTTCCTGCTATTGCAGACGATCATCTCCTCAGGGTAATGTTGTTCGGGACATGAACGAAGATCGTTTTCGGAGTTTCATAAGTGCTACTGCAACAGCCTGGCACAAAACAGGACTTGTACGCTCTTCTCTGCACTTTGCCCTTCAGTATATCACAAAAGAATTGTTTAGAATCCATCTTACGCTTCTTTCACAGTCTCCCTTGCCACCGTAGGGCGTAGATAGATTGCTGTTGCTGGTAAGCGGGGTTGTGCTTGACTCATGAGTCGAGTCAGAAATTTGACTCAACTCTGACTCAAATGAGTCAGATTTGAGTCGAGTCGGATAAAATGTTGAGCTGTTGAGTTGAGTCAGAGTTGAGTCGGACAAAAATATTAAGGCGTTGAGTTGAGTCAGAGTTGAGTCAGTAAAATAACTTTTGACATTGAGTTGAGTTGAACATTTAGGAACATGAGTCAACTGACTCAACTTTCTAAGAGACAAGCTTTCATTCCCCCCGCTTAAAAACCAAGGCTTGCTGCCGGATTTTTTCACCCCCCCCCCGCTCAACAACGTTTTTATCTGAGTCAATTTGAGTCAACTCACTTGACTCAACAAAAAATTTGAGTCAAGTTTGAGTCGACTCATATTTTCATAGAGCCGCTTGAGTCATGAGTCGAGTCAAGGAAAAAATAAGCTCCTTGTTTGAGTCAGAGTTGAGTCAAGGCTTTCTGAAGTTGAATGATGAGTCGAGTCGGCAAATTTTTTTGAGTCGAGCACAACCCTGCTGGTAAGTTAAGGCACAGTAGATAGAAATTACCTCGGTTCTCAACGCCTTAAGTTATTTTCATAAAAAAGAACAAATAAATGATCAATAAGATGACAGGAATGTTAACATTTTAATCGTAAAGTAGTCCAAATATTGGAATGAGCTTTTGATTTTCAGCATCCTCCGATTCATCATCTTTATCATTTGAAAATTCGAGGTACATAAAATGTTTATCACGCGCTCAATGTTAAGTGGGAATAAAGTACACGGCAGACAGATCAATTTTTGACACTGAACATTTCATCCGTAAATGTTTTAGCATAATTTAAAGTTAAAAACAGCGCGAATGGCAGAGTGAAACAAACAACATCTTTCACCCATTGATATAACATGTAATCTGTGGTGCGCCAGATGCGCCATTATTTGTCAACCGCAGAAGGTGACATGTGACGTAACAGCATCAAGAGCATCTTTTTTCAAGAACTTTTCAAAACAAGTTTCCTATCTTTCTTCCCCCATTTCTCTCAGGATATTGATTTTATGAGGCAATGGTATGCACCATAAATTCTGTGAAAATAGTTTGATCATTTTCATGCATTCTTAAAAAATCGAGTTCCCAACCCCATTGTAGTCACTTAAGCTTCAGAGCATCACTGGCAGGTGGCATCCATGTCTTACGGTTTTCGAAATATCTCGAATTTCGGCTTTGCCCCAACTCCGGCATTGCCCCAACTTCCCCTAACACTTATCTAGGATATAACCTTTTTTGCACGTCTTTTCGGCCTTACACAATTTCCTTTTTGGTAATTAATTAGTCCTTTTTGCAGTAACTAGTGAAAGTATGTATGTGCTGCTAAAGAAAGCAGTTTTTGCGAACTTTTCATGCAGCAGCTTTAACTAGTATAGATATTCTACTTTCAGCCCCAATGCTTTCGTTAGCATTATTCTACTTGTCGTGGGGTAACAATAGCGCTAAAACGGTTCATATGTGAGTACGGAAGGTACTAACTGCATGCTATTCTTAGCACCTTTTAAAGTTTAGCACCGCTAGGGTACTGAAAATTGGTCTCACTGTAAAAAAAGTTTAGCACCTGCAGAATTGGAACCGATTTAAGACGCGACTAAGTTTTTGTGTGTAGGTGTGTGCGTGCGTGTGACAGTTGTACCTATGTTTGATCGTTGTCATTTTTGCCTGCTCTCCCATTGCCGATTGAAGTTCATTTGTTTTATCACTTGACGAAAGGCAGTAATAGCCGCAAGTACCTATATTCCGGGTGTCCTTAATTCAGTATGAGATGAGAGATAAGATGAGACGTATAACACTTGGCATGCCATAATGTTGCTAGTTGCAATCAATTTTGTTCAGAAATAACTACATTTCTGCTACACCTTTGAACTTGAAGAAGACATCAAAGACCTGTGCCCGGTCCTGTTCTCTCCAGGTTCAAGTTCTGGAAATTCGCTGTCTTTGTTCAGGTATAGACTGCATAATATTGTCACATATCCTGCCTACATCATACATGGTCGGTGATTCCGCTTACCTATTTTTACAAAAAAAAAATCAATTGCGCCATTTTGAATCAATTGCAAGCCAAGGACAACTACCTACTAACTACAGCCCACCGCTTAAGTAATGTGTGGTTTTACCTATCTCAACGGATGGCTTTTACTGGCGATTTTTTTATGCGGAGTGATGGAAAAGAAAATGTCAATAGATTAAGTTGCAGCTGCAAGGGTGACGATACATCTAAGCTACATTCAAAGTTTCATTGTAGTCTGGTTAATCGTTCCTAAGCTTCAGAAGCAGAACATACACATGACTGAAAACGCACATTACTTCTGCTGTGGACTGTACAACATATAGGTACAGCCCACCGCTAAAGTAAAGTAGGGTTTTACCAATCTCAACGGTTGACTTTGACTGGCGATTGTTTAACCCTCGCCCGCACATGGGGGGGGGGGGGTGGTTGCCACCCCCCCAGGTAGTCTTTCTGCTCTGCACTCAACATTTTTAGAGCTAGAAGGCTGATTTTTCGTATAGCTGCTCCTCTATCCTTTCTTGATGTCCACTGAAAATTTCAAGTTTCTGTGATTTTTGGTTTCGGAGATATGACCTTGTTTTTCAGGTCATGTCATGACCCAAATGGCCAATTCTCGACATCTTGCGTTGGCTATGGGCCTTGTGAGCTTTTGACACCTTGATTTCGGCCTTTTTTACCAGTCTTACCTCCCACCTATCATGGAACATGTTGTTCGACGATGTATAGATGTCAAGGTCAAGGTCAAGGTCAACCTAGGTCATCTAAGATAATTGCGTTTTAGGCAAGCGGAATTTACTTTTTGTGAAGTTTTTTGACTGCATTTTTGGTAAAAGCTTCTCAGATCATGATTTCATGTAATATGGACACATAAACAATCGGTGCACACATCAGTATACACACAGACACACACAGACATACAAACACATATAATTGACCTTGACCTAACTTGACCTGAAATGACCTCAGCAGCAAAAACCTGGTCGGGTAGTGTGAGAAAGAGGTTCTAGCTGGCTTGGCACCAGAAAACGGCATCGTCATCGGTATATGCTAAGCAGCGCACTTGATATCAAACGGTGACCCAAAACAGCAACATTTTTTAGTTTGACCTGACCTGGAAGGTCAATGACTGACCTGAGAAGGTAAAACTGGGTATCATTGGATTCGTCTCTTCCCAAAGAATCTTTTTGGTCTTTACCGCTAAGCTCTATCTCCAACAGGAACGAAATGGCGCGGGGGGGGGTGGCAACCACCATGTGCGTTCTAGGATGGGAAAATGGCATGTGCGGGCGAGGGTTAATGCGGAGTGATCGAAAAGAAGATGTCAATAGCTAAAGTTGCAGCTGCAAGGGTGACGATACATATAAGCTATACATACATTCAAAGTTTCATTGTAGTCTGGCTAATCGTTCCTAAGCTTCAGAAGCAGAACATACCCATGACTGAAACCGCACATTACTTCTGCTGTGGACTGTAGGTACCTATAATTTCAGAATTATAATATCAAGCACGGTTCAACGCGTAGCGTGTTTCCTTCGATTAATTGCGTTACCTGTTGATCAGGATCCAGACGGTCCAACTCCCAGTCGCTGCACGTTTGGGATTTGTCCTTTTGAAAGGGAACTTCGGCATGCGCTGCCAGGTCTTCTAGAGAAAGAGTACTCTTCTTAAATTTCTGCTGCTGGCCTTTCATGTCTTCGACAAGATATTTCAAGTCTAGACATCCCTTATAGTCAACATTAGGTGGAATGCAGGGGCAGTTTGCCAATGTCAAACGCTCGCAATCTCGAAGTACCTCAACGCCGACCTTCAGAATTTGTCGATTTTCCAGCAGATCCTGCAACAAGAACAGAAAAGATCAACAAACCGCACTCGTTGTGTCTAAGCCTTTCAAAGAAATATGCCACCCACCTCAAATTATTTTTTCTACAGTTTTATTATTTTTGTGCTTAACGGAAATTTAGGTACCACTTTTAACCCGCACCCCGTAGGGCTATCGGCGTACCCTGCCACCCGTGATGGGGGGGGGGGGGTGTTTCGCCCTCCTCCCCTACGATCTCGGAAAGTTACCGACCGATTTTCAAATTTTAAATGGCATTTCAATAGCCCCAGTGGAAACTAGCTTGTGACCAAATGTCATCGGTCTAGGTCCAACTGATGACGTCACAGGTCAGGTCAAATGTCGCATTTTTCGCTGTTTGCAGGCCTTCTAAGGAATGCGTTATAACATCGAGTAAAAGGCAAGTTATCGAAAATCATTGAGAGCGCTTTGATTGCCTAACACATATGTTGCTAAATTAGGTCGCTGATACCAGATCAAAGCACAGAGGGGCCAGGTCACTTAGGGTCACAACGTGACCCAGACTATACTAGGGTAGTGTGACACATGTTTTATGGCTAGCTTTACATTTCGAATTCAACTTTGTGGATCAGACGACCATTAAGGCCAGTTTAGGTCACGTTCTGATAGAGGTTAGGTCAAGGTCAGGTAAAAATGGTCAAATTTGAAAGTCCGGATAACTTCGACACACCATATAGACGAAAATTCCGCGCTCTCCACCTCACTCGGACTCCCATCAGCTCGCGCCCCACGGACGGACCATATACCGTTCTCTATGTGCCGTGGGACGGACAGCTGCTCACCGTTAGCTCCTTTGGCACACAGCCTGTCATGCGGTGCAGCTGGATCAGCAGGCAGAAGCCGTCCATTGTGGCCAGCTGAAGCAGGGCGACCTTCCACCGGCCACGGGGATTCCACTCGGCGTCCAGTCCGACGTGGGAAGTCCCGGTTCGTCGCAGCCGCCTGCCGAAAACCAAAACCACAAGCGACCTTCTGTTCACCTAGCGATGGCGAGAGCTGGGACAGAGTCGTGTTTGAGATCACGAGAGAGATTTGACATGATGGTACTGTTTTTAATGTTTTATCCAGGATCTCATAGATCGGTAGGTATTATTTTTCATTCAGTAGGCATAGGCATGGCTCATAATGGAAAGGGCAAACAGCACATCTTGTTTATTTATTATTTATTTCGTCATCCTTCCAACAGGCTGATGCGCCCACTTACAGGAAGGCTCCTGCTCCTCCTCTTCCTTTCCCCTCCCCCTAGGCTACGGCTAACGTGGGAGCCCACCCCACTCCTGGTGACACAGCTGGGGACGACGCCCGCGGGACGGGCGACACCGGGAATCGAACCCAGAGCCACCCGCACCGCGGGCCGACGCCTTAACCAACTGCGCCACCAGGGCCGCCTGGTGTTTATCTGTTTTGAATCTTTAGTTTGGGTTGGAAGGATCGTGAATATCGTTGCAGGCACACATGCACATCGCATACCCACACGCCAACCTCATGCCAAGATGAACACAGGCACAGCACTCAAAGTAGAGACTAATAAGCAGACTCGATTGCTGTACGGAGTGACCGTCAAATTACTTCTGACCTGAGTAATTCTTTAATCCCGCGTCGGCATCCCTCGACGGTGTGCACGGTCCAAACTTCCATGGGGCCCGAGGGTACCTCATAGCTGCTGATCTCAACCTCTGGCGGGTCTGGCATCGGTGTGCCTGTACGAAGAAGGGCCGGAGTCAGCCCCAACATGTTGCAACGTGTTGTTTCATGTCTACGCAGGACTGCCGCTCTATCTCATGGTAGGTTATAGTGAATTATACACAACAAAGACATTGATAGACGATAACAGCTGTCATAACCAGCACAATCCCCTCAACAGCGATGCAAGTACACACATGTTTCAAGGCGAGGCAAGGGTGATGCGTAGTAGCTGATAACAAAATATGACGGATTACCTTCTATCGTGGCGAAACAGGCTTACCTTGAGATAGCGAGGTTAGGCGAGCTTTATTAGTTTTGCGTTCAGAAGGTCCGATGGCCCCTAGTTACCTATCTCTCGGATAAGCTGCGAAAACTGATGATTTTCCATCCGTCTGACCAGTTAGTGCGTGGTTTGACGGTCACCCTCCAGTCTCCATTTTCATCTAACCCTTAGGTCATAAGCGTTAGAGCCAACTTTTGTACCTAATTGATTTAAGAAAATTATTGTGGGTGCAATAATTCTTCGGTGGGCGTAGACAATGGATTCTACTAAATCTACACCCACAATGATCTAAAACAGAAAAAAAACTTTCGCATCAACGCTTCTTCCCAGTTCCCATGTAACATTACGAATTCAGGATACTATGCCTCCCCTCCCCTCTACCCGTTTTTCGAAACATTTGCTTCTTTGATGATTTTCAAAACATGTGTTTGTGCTTAGGTGGATAAAACCGGAACGTCTGTGATAAAACATATACTGATGACCCATCTTAGAAAGCTTTGGCCCGATATCTTCAATACAGGTCGCTATGTCAATAAGATCGTTATGAGCCTCCAACTTTTTCTGATATCGGTGGCGATCAACCAAAATCGAGAGAGAACACGATACCCAGTACCGTTTCCTACCTCCCATCCCCCTCCACCGGCTATTGATGGATTCCTGCACCCATGCTCCTACAATGTTCCAGCCGTTCCTACGCCCATGACCCTTAGGTATGCTTTATTATGCCATAAAACATGCATTCTGTCTTTTGCATTTGCATTTACATTGGCTCCTGGCAATGTAACTTCCATTCCGTGATCTCACTCGTGGCCTTTGGTTCCGCCGACCATAGCTGAATCTTATTCCCGTGACGTCCCTCACCATCCCTATCCCAAGGCTTGTAGGCATTTTTATTTCAGCGCCACGCCTACCCAATACCCGTCCAGGCCCGCTCTGTTCTACCTTTTCCCAGCCGACCATATGTTCTGTTCCATTAACCCGCGCCCCGTAGGGCTACCGGCGGACCCTACCACCCGTAGGGGGGGGGGGGCCGTTTCGGCCCCCCCTAAGATCTCGGAAAGTTACCGGCCGATTTTCAAAATTCAAACGGCGTTTGATAGCCCTACCCGGGAACTACCTTGTGACCAAATTTCATTGACCTAGGTCAAACCGATGACGTCACAGGTCAGGTCAAAGGTCAGATTTTCACCGTTCACAGGCAATTCAAGAAATGTGCTGTGAAATCGAGTAAATTGGTAATTTATTGAAAACCATCGATGGTATATTGTTCGTCAAACACATACTTTGCTATCTGAGGTCACTGATACCAGGTCAGGTCACAGCGAGGTCAGGTCACCGGGGGTTACAATATGAATGTGTCGTGTGATACATGTTTTATGGTCCATTTTACATGACAAATGCGATTATGTGGGTTAGGCAGCCTTTGGGGCCAGCCTAGGTCACGTTTTGGTGAAGGTCAGGTCAAGGTCAGGTCAAATTAGGTCAAATTTCAAAGTTGATATTTTTGCATAAAATGGGTATCCATTCGATGCAGCTCGTCACGGGGAGTCTAATGGTGGTCTTTGTTTTGCTCTACGAGTTCTAGAATTGCCAAAAATTGAGTTTGAAAATTTGACGTCATCATTTTTGAACAGTTTTTTCGCTATAACTTGGCCAAAAAACGAGGTATCGATCTGAAATTTAGTATGTAGATAGAAGACGGTAGGTACTATCACATATATTCTGGTTTTTTTCGAAACTCAAAAAACTTTTTGGATTTTTTGGTTAATATATCCAAAAAATGTTTGTTTGATTTTTGGGGATCAAAACTCAAAAATTTCAAAAATCCGAGATAGCAGTTTTGTAGCCCTGTCAATTCTACACCTTTTATGACTTGATCATTTTTCTGTATCTTCAAAGCTGTAGGCCTGACAGGTCTTCTCGCGAAGGTCTTTTTTCGGTCGAAAATGACAGAACATGACGTCACTCTGACGTCATTTGTGGCCAACCTATCACAGCCTCTGGAAAAATGTTTGGTCACAATGTGTAAAATTGATGCCCGGAGGGGTCCTGAAAGTTTGGTGGCGATATCTCCAGGCTCCAGCCGTTTAGGAGATATCGACCGAAAAGGACAGGGGGGGGGGGCGTTTCGGCCCCCCCCCCCCCTACGGGGCGCGGGTTAACACTGCACTGACATGCCTACTTCAGTCACAATCATTCGTAGAGGTTCATGTACTATCGACATAATATTTGTCCATATTATTAACTACGAAAGTCACTATCATGAAACGCGCTTGGAGACACATCATGGTTATTCGGCCGCTTAGTTCCTTGCCTAAATAAATATACCTTCAAACGGAAAACGGCTGTATATGCGCGTGCGCATGATCCGTCGCACTATGCTGGTGTATCTGTTACCATTCTGAAGGCGAGGATACCAGATAGCTATATACATTTAGCGGTATGGTATACCAATTGATATAGGTACCAATTACTCTCCCCAAAATGCAGACCATAACCAATATAGCAGAGAAGAGGCAAGCCAAAGATCAATCGTTTCGCTTGCATCCTGGACGCACACTCACCGAACACCGTCGACACTATCCAAAGCCTCCACTTGGAAAACGATGAGAGCTCCATTTTGGTCGCACCGCACCACACCGCAGCAGTGCACTGCCAATGTCAACAAACACGTCTGTCGCTTGGTCTGCCGGGCCGTCCGCGTCCCACAGTCTCGCGGGCCGCGGCGCGCGATAAGGAATCGGGGAACCCCAACATCAGGGGCGGATGCACATCATGGGGTCAATTTTCAAAAGCCATGTTACCGATGCATTTGATTCATAGGATTCACAGAGAGCTACGAAGGATGCCACGGAGGGCTACGGTGAGACGATAACTCCGTATTTTTGTCTGAACTAACTCCTGTTGCGTAGCTCTATAATGAGGCGGTCTCACCATCGAATTATACACTCCCTTGCACTGGGCTCTCAGTGCAACCGAGAAGCCTCGGTAGTTGTGGCGTGTTTATTCACGTCGGTTCCTGTCTCTGCAATCTTGAATTCGAATCCTAGCTACCTACCCATAGTGACAACATAAATGTGTATGAACGCCATACACAGCGACAACTGACAAGTGACAACATGCTTTTGCTACGAATACTGAATGCAAGATTAGTAATTTTAATAACGGAAAATCATGACACCGATACCAAACTAAATACCAACAATATTAATGCAAAAATACCGAAACCAAACCGACTTGGGAATAAGAGGAAAATACCAACTTTTTACCAAATTCCCAGCCTCTTTTACATTCGTGAGAATTCATAATACCAACAAAATATCAAATGCACTCGCCTTAAAATACTAAATATCAAGTTGGTACCGGTTTGGTATCGGTAGGCATACCAAAAAGTTGGTATCCGATTGACATCTTTATGTAAGATCCAACTACGAAGTGGTGACTGGGTTGAAATATGCAATTAACACGTAATTAATGCGAACTCCTAGCTTAGAAACTGTATGCCCACCCAAAGCACCGAGCACGGGTCAGTGATTAAACAGTCATAAGTGAACTCGGTGGCATATTACATAGTGCCTGCATGTCGATCGTTGTTTATTTGTTTCCTGTAGGCCATGCATACAGGACTAAAACGTTCCGGCATCTGCAACATGTTGATACTTGGTTGTCAAGACATTGTGCTGCTTGTGTTATGACTTATGCAGACAGACGTAATGACTAATGTGCATTTTTATTTTCTAAAAAAAAAAAACACGCGCCCAATAACGCTGTCCCATGCCGGGTCGTCTCGGACTCTCGAGGCGGCCTTGCTATCAGCCGTCTGCTGCTGGTATGTATGTACTTACATAAAGCTCCGCAGCTCTCTTTGAGATGCAGTCGCAATCTTAGATGTGGCCGTTGGTGGTGAAGATCACAAATGGTTTATATACGAGGGGGTACCCAAAAGTAACGGGAATCGTTCTCTGTAGGCTAAGTCAGTTGTAGCTCGGCATTGCCCTGCTAGGGGCAAACCAGTCTGGCCCCTGGGACTTAGTCTGCACCGTGAGGTGACGAAATAAAGAGGCACGGCCGCGTGGCGCACGTATTTATTGAAGCACTCCCGCCCGATCCGTCGTTTTTTATGCATAGCGGAACTGAGCAACAACGCGCATCTGTGAAATTTTGTTTCCTGCTGGGGAAGTCCGTGACTGAAACGGTTCCAATGCTTCAAGTAGCATACAAATATGCTGCCGTTGGCAAGACGCGAGTTTATGAATGATTTTTGCACTTCAAAAGTGGTCAAATGTTATCCCAAAAGCGCCCCAAAAAAACTTGCTATGTGAAGTCAAATGTCAAGACAATGCTGATTTGTTTTTTCGATGCAAAGGGAAGAATGCAAAAAGAAATTGTTCCTCCCTGGTCAAACTGCCAATCAGACGTTTTACTTGGACGTTCTGCGGCGTGTGTGAAACACGGTGAGGCGAAAACTCCTCGACAGGTGGCGAAACGGGGAGTGGTGATTTCATCGCGACAGTGTGCCAGCGCACACCGCCTTGAGTGTCAGACAATTTTGGGCAAAAAATGCATGACCCTGCACGGATCCACCCTCCCTATTCACCGGATTTGGCACCCGGTAACCTTTTCCTGGTCCCCAGAATGAAAAAGACCTCAAGGGAAACCAGTTCAACGACTTTGACAAGGTAAAAGCAAAAACGACGATGGCTCTGCAAGGCATCACCTTGCAAGAGTTCCAGAGCTGCTTTGAGAGCTGGAAAACGCGTCTGCATATGTGCATTGTCTCGCAGGGAGAGTACTTTGAATGACATGAGTGACGATGTGTAGGGATCAGTGAATAAACAGATTTTAACCCGCGCGGGGCTGGGGGGTGGTAAATTTTACCCACCCTCGCGAATTTTTGCAATAACTCAAAAACGGCGGCGCGCAGCGCCGCCAAACTTTCAGTACCTCTTTTTACATCAATTTGACACGTTCCCTGAAAATTTGAGCGAAATCCGTCGGAAAATGTTTGAGAAATTGACGTTTTAGTGACGTCATGTTCGCCATTTTCGCCTAAAAACGGCGAAATTTCAAACGCCGCTAACATCTTCATTTTTAAAGGAATCAAGACGTAACAAAAAAGGTTATACGTAATTCTACTTTGTCTAACAAACGGCTATCTCGGTTTTTTTGAAAATTTGGGATTTTGGCCAGAGTTTTTTTTTTCTTAAAAAAACTGACTTTTGTGGAAAAATAATTATAAAATTCAAAGTTTTGGGTGTATCGAAAACCGGAATATGTGTCAGAGAAGTGGTCTATGTGCACCGACATACCAATTTTTAGAAAAATCGGCTAAAAATTGTGGGAGTTATTAAAAATTTCATGTCACGACACACAAAAATTTTGGAAAATGAATTCTATGGAAGTTCTAGACCTCGTACGGAAACAAAAATAGCACCATTCGATTTGCAGTGAAAAACTGCATCAGATAGACACCTTTTTAGGCCTTAACAACCAACTTCAAAATTTGACCTCACTTGACCTGACCTTGACCTGACCTCGACCTGAAATTCATCCAGATATGGTCCATATCACCTATTGAGTGTGCCTATTGAATTCTATCAATAAAATGACCCATAAAACATGTGTCGCACATGCCCTTTTCTATATTTTGTTTTTGGTGACCTGACCTGACCTTGACCTTGACCTCTGAATGATATTGTATGCAGCGAATATTGTCTTGGTAGCCTAAGAACATGTTTTGGGCAATCAGTCTCAGTCCATTCTTCGGCAACTACGGTACAAAGGCCGATACTGTAGAAACTTGCAATTTGTACCCTTGACCTGACCTTGACCTTGACCTCAAGGCTCAAACTTTAAATTAAGTACATGTTTTTAGTTGTTCGTGATGAGATCTTTCGATTGGCGTTTGAAATTTCCAAATCGGACCATTAGTTCGGGAGATAACAGGGGGAGGGGTAAAATTTACCCACCCCCAGCCCCGCGCGTTCGGCTGGAGACCCCAGCCCCGCGCGGGTTAAACAACTCCCGTTTCTTTTGGGTACCCCCTCGTATGTATACGCTGCAAGTCTAAATTTATATGGTATATGCGTCATTTAAACTGGCCAGGGCGCAAGCTTATAAGCAGACTCCCACGTCGCTATTCTATAAGACCAGACAAATTGCTTGACGACTGTGGCGGTGCATGGAAAGAACTCGACAGCCGCCTATCTTCCAGCCATATATAACATGTTCGAGCAGCTTAGCGGTTCACTTCGCGGTTCAGCAGCTGGTCACCTTTAATCTAATAGTAACGACTGGCCCAATCTCCAAGGTCGTAGGACCTATGTATGATTAACCATATCAGCTGATATCTACAGTAGACGCTGCTAGAACGTTCTGATGACGCGCTCGTGTTCTTTGTTTGAGCTGACGTGTCCTATCAGAGCAGACACCTGCGGGATGGCGGGACTGCACGGTAATTTACTGGGTGATACGACGGTGCGAGGGAGTGTCTCGTTTGTTCCATTTTTATAACACCATATGTAGATGAAATATGGTGGCTAGATACCTCAATGTGGATGGCTGGCTCGTGGGTCATTTTTACCATTTACTAAACATAACATGTCTAGTCAAACACAAGTAAGAGAATTCGTGCCGACCACTTACCATGTCTGATGCTTCTTTTGGGTAGCTGTTGGATGGTCATCGTTGTTATTTGAGCCCACCGAGGCCAGGCTGACCTGCCGACCTCAAATGAACATCGGACGGGCCCCCTGACCCCGGCGGGGGCCCCCTGTGACCCGTCCCATCCCTGGCGTCCGTCGGGACGACTGCGGGATCTTTGCGGGGCGGAGGGGGCCCGGTCCTGGCTTAGAGAAGCTAGGACATTACGTTATGTGACTATGTTACAGGGAGTTTAAGAAATCCGTGAGTTTGCAAACTCCCCCCTGACCCATCAGTGAGTCTGCAAATTCACTAGGGAGTTTGCAAACTCACTGACCGGTCAGGGAGTTTGAGAAATCCAGAGCGATTGGGACGAATGAAAACAAGTGTGCAGCATGCGGTGTCATAAACGTGATTAAAATAAAGGCGGCTATAGTTGTACGGCCTATTTAACAGTCACACGCTGACAAAAAGCCTGCAGATCATATGTACACCATAAATGTCTGCTTAAGATTTTAACCCTATTCCTGGCGGAGGGGGGCCTCAGGAGCCCCCCCCCCCTTGAGGTTTTTTGGTTATTTCTCCCAAACGCGTTGAGCTAGGAAGCTCAAATTTTCTTACTTTTCCTAAAAGGCTTCTACGCAACATGTCTGAAAATTTTGAGTTGATCTGACCTCAGGTCAGGTCACCAGAGGCGGTTTGGTGACCCTACCTCAGAAAAGTTTGCAATCACGCCAGAGCTAGAGTTTTTGACCGATCAATTTCTTCTCTTCAGGCTTTAGTTAGGGTACCAGTATGTGCAATTTGTATATCTCGGAATTTTGATATTGGTGACCTAAGGTCAGGTCAGTTTCGCGACCTCCCCATTATAAGTCAATGGGGGAAAAATCAACTCCCTGTTTTTACCACTAAAACGGGTCGGAATGGCCCCATATACCATACATGACTTCATATACGATCAACCTTCACTACCTTGAGGTCTGTTTTGCTGTTGGGCAGCTGTGAGGTCATGTGACGTCATCAAAGGTCACCAAAGGTTTTTGGCCAATAACTC